ATAGACATACCCGTACATCTGTATAATCCTTCAACCCGAAACCCTTATCCCTAATCCTTAACTCTAAACCCTAATCCCTAAACCCTAATCCCTAAACCCTTAACCCTAATCCCTGAACCCTAAATCCTAAACCCTAAACCCTTAAACCCTAAACCCTGAACCCTGAACCCTCAACGCTTTCCTAGTCCTGCCTGGCCAGGAGCTCTTTCGACTGGGATCGGCCCGCGCCCGCGCAGCCGACGAGCAGATCCGGGACAGCGCCAGGGCTTCGCTTTGAGCGCGTTTCGATACACTGGGAGCCTACAGTTTGAGATGTTGGGATTTAGGGTTTAAGGTAGGCCCTAAACTCTGTGAACTCTAAACCCTTAACTTAGGTTTTGTTCAAAGCTTTGGATTTTTGAGGCTTGGGGTTTTGAGTATAGTTTCGGATTTAGGCTTCTAGGTTTGGAGACTTTCTTTTTGTGATTGTCCTTTCACTTTTTCTGGAGCCTAAGTAGATATCGGTATACTAGTAGTAATGGAGAAACCAAGTGGAGAAGAAAGTGGACAACTAAATGCAAAGCAGATGTATGTAAGGGCCCAACCGTGTGGGTTTATGTTCCCATAAACCCTAAAACCTAAAACCTAAACCCTTAAACCGTGTTCGAAGTGTAGGGTTGCGGCGGCTTTATGATGATTCTTGAGTGACTTGGAACCTAATGAAAGCAGCGTAGCAGCGGTGTAAACAAGTAGCGTTGTACATTGCGTTTTGACGGGCAGAGGTAATGGAATGCGTGGGTTCTTGGTTTTGGGGCCGAATCATCTTTTGATGGAGCCGCGCAGATTTTTCAAGCTCAGCAACCGCATTAGCTCTGCAGGCTTGTAACGTATATAAAAACTTAAACGGTACAAGAAGAGATTATTGCCGCAGATTACAAAGGTCCCTGTTGCACTTTCACATGCGGAACTCGGTAACCCTTAACCCTACACTGTATGCCTCTGGAAGTAGGCTTGCAGGTGTAGGTTCTAGCTAGTGCTTGTCAGAAGATTCCTTCATCGTATGCCACGGCTTCTAATGTTGTCTTCATTGCTGCTAGGAATTTTGACTTGGAGGTTTTGGAACCTAGGCTTTCAGGCTTTGGCATTCTTGTGCTCTCTGTTGCGGGGTTCCGATGCGAGGGAAGTGGCCGTTTTCTGTTTTTGTTTCACGGCGGCTGCTTAAATCGCCCATCCGAAGGGTTTCATGGGTATGAGGGTCTCTTCAGTCATCATTGAGTCATAATGTGATTTGCTTTCCCATGTGGTTGGAGGAGATCAGCCACAAAGCCCTGCTACTTAAGACACAAAGCAGTGGATAAGTAAGGAAACGTTTCATTCAAGAAGATCTTTTCGGGCAGAAGTATTCCCCAACCCTGAAGCATAAACCCTAACCTCTTACAGTCCCCCTTAAGTAGATAGAATATGTGGTATATGGGGATCTTAATACAATACACCCAAAGCCATATTCTATCTACTTAAGGGGGACTATAACCCTTGGTAGAGTAAGATTCTCGGCCCAGAACCTACACCCTTGATATTATTTGGGGGGTCAGGGAGACTTGGTAAGTAGGTTAATAAGGGGGATAGCTGGGGTTACTGCGGTGGAAATTAAAAAAGTCCTGCATGACCCTAAGTACCTTATACCTTACGAATTCTGGTATTATAGTCTACTAAGGTCCTGCAACCATGCAGAATTTTGATATCGACAGTAGTATCGGGGTTATTAACCTACTTAGCAAGTTCTCCTGACCTCCAAGTACCCTTAACCCTAAAACCCTAAACCCCTAAACCCCTAAACCCCTAAATTCCTAAATCCCTGTACCTCATCCGTCGGAAAAGTAGTCCTCCCGAAGGACATGTCTCTACTCGATGGCCTCTGGAGCCTCGGGGGATTTAGGGTTTAGGGTTTAGGGGGGGCTTGTGCATAGGAGCAGATTGCGTTGAGGGCATGGGCCGTAAGACGAAACTTTTACCTAGATCAGGTTGCTGTTGAGGATCTTGAGTTTAAGTGATGAGGAAACAAGAGGTGCCTATACATTTACTACATGTAGGCATTGAGGACCTTAATTCAAGTTCTTTAACAGCAGCAAAGTTCTGGGATTAGCGTCTGCGGGCAGCTAGAAAATGCCATTCCGAAGTAAACGCTTGGGGGATCTCGATTGCTTTAGGTTAATAACCCCTATAAGGCGTGTAATAACCCCAGTTAGCCCCATTATCAGCCTACTTATTAAGTCCCCATTTGGTGGTAGTTTCCCGAAATAGGGGGACCCCAATATAGACCCCAAAATATTAGAATCCGTATTAAGAGAACCCCCAACAAGGTACCCCTAAATTTGGGAAACCATAAACCCTAAACCCTATATAACCCCTATGTAACGCCTGTATATCCCCTATAGGCCCCTTTAAAGGTACCTTGATTTAGCTGAGTTTTGGGGTCCAGATTGTTGGTGTTTCTTGGCATGCAGATCAATCTGTTTGTCGCACCTCGTATGGCTCTTGTGGCAAATTCCTTCTTGGGGTTTAGGGTTTAGGGTGCAGGGTTTAGGTGCTATGATGTGGGTGTTGCGAGCTGTTGGTATGTGAGACTTGGCTTCAACTCGTGCTGAAATGGCACATAGGCAGGTCGGCAGTTTGGCCATCGCAACTATGAACGTGCTCAGTTCAATGTTATATGAGCCATAGTGTCAACTCCTAAAAGAGGTTAGAAACGGAAGAATATAGGGGAGTGTTATAGGGGTTATTCAGGGGGGATACTAGGAGTTTAGACAATGGCTTATATGATAATGAATGCTGCAAGCTTGCGCAAGTTGCGTAAATTCCGCCAAGCCTGCCTCCGGTTTTCGTTTGAAGTCTTCCTCGTGCTCCGTTTCTTTGGCGTGCTGTGCAGATCCATGCACGCAAACCCAAAACGCAACACGCTAAAAAAACCCAAGCCAGACCTTGTATCTGTGACTGGCCCAGGGCGTGGCATCTCAATTTCTAAAAGCCTAATCAAGCTATTTATTCTCATTGTGTTCGACGATTGAAAGCGCCCCGAAACCGTCGGCAATGATCAACTGCTTTCCTTTTAGCAGGCATGGATTCATAAACGAGGTCCTTCAAAGACTGCTGTCATTTAAAAGGGATTATACCAGGTTCCATGTTTGTTTGGTGAGAATAGACTTTTTCGGGAGCCGCCTGGAATGACTCTGCTAACCCACTGGTAGTCCTGACATATCAGTGATCACGCGGATGGCGGATCTCCAAACGACGCCAAATGTCTTTACCCCTAATCCCTAAGCCCTACACCGTACACCCTCGGATCCCTAAGTAGGGGTTAGTGTTTAGGGTCTGCACCCTAGGATTCCTACGGGTACTTCTGTTTTCAAGAAAGCCTTTTGAAAGCTCGCAGTAGCCAAGAGCTGAGAAAGGGATATCTCACTTTCTGGTGTGAGCTGTAGTCTACACTCCTTAAAGGGGATTATATAGGGGCTTACATAGGGTAATATAGGGGATTACATAGGGTAATATAGGGTATAGGGTTTAGGGTTTAAGGTTGAGGGTCTAGACTCCTTAAGGGGGGTTATATAGGGGATTATATAGGGGACTAATATAGGGATTAAGGGGGATACTAGGAGTTTAGACTGTAGCTCATGTAGATGGGATTCTTCGTCCACGGTTCCCCCAAAGCGGTGTAAACTGAGATTCTCCATCACATGAAGGTTGCCAGGCCCATGTTGAATTGGAGGTCCTTGTGTTCATGTGGTGGTTTGGGCCCCCAAAAGAGAAAGATCCGGCTTGCTTAGCCATCCCTATATTTCTCAGAAATTGTAAGATAGGCTTTGGGTTTCAGGGTTTAGGGCTTA